TCCTTCTTTTCCTTCTTCTTTTTTGGCTCACCATCAGGTCCCTCCCCGTGCCTCTTAGGACTTGCACTCATACGAGCATGCCTTCTGCGACGCTCATCGCCATCACGATCCTTGCGATCTCTGCTTCTGCTCCGGCTCCTTGAATGGCTCCTCCTTCTGCCTCGCTCCCTATCCCGCCTGTCCCGTTCCCTATCCCTATCCCTATCCCTGTCCCTTTCACGACCATATTCCTTGTCTTCTCTTAGGCGATGACGATCCCTTTCCCTATCTCTGTCTCTATCCCTATCACGCCCTCTTCCACGATCCCTATCATAATCTTCATCTCTGTCATAATCTCGGTCCCTGTGAGAGTAAAAGGAGGTTCGGGTGAGCTCAAAAGTACAAAATATGGCCAAAATTACAAACCAGTTTCCTTCGTAACATAGTTCGCCACCAATGTAACTTCCATTTCACAAGACAATTTGCACAAACGGTTAACAATATAACGAATATCAGACCAAGATTTTTAAACACTTTATGCAAACCTATTAGATGATGGAGAAAATTTAAAGTTTCCACCCATGGGTAGACTTCAGAAAGGAAGGGTAGAGAAGAAACCATAAAAAAGAGTAGAAACAGCAAATGAGAGAAAAAGATGTGAACAAATAAATAAGATGAACGTCCGAAAGGCGAAAATACTACTGCATTGCAGTAAAACTGTATGATCCATCATACTTCTCAGCTGCACACTGCCAGTGCAGAGAAACCTGGCAGGATCACTAATAATTGCTCTAGGAAGCTGTTATACGCCATTGATGGCTTCAAATGCCACCAAGCTTGGAAAACCATGAGATATGTTGTTGTGTGTGATAGTGTGTATACGTGTTGGAGGTTCAAATAACAGCTTCCACCTCAATGTAGTGCTCAACGCAAAAACAACACAAAAATACCAATGTTGACTTGGTCACTTGAATATTTTATATCCCTATACCAAGTGTAAGAATATAAGCATGATGCAATTCTTGACCTACAAACTGATTTCAAGTTTCTAGTTGCCAAAAATAAAATTTTGCATAACTTACCTTGCAACAAATATACATTCTAGATTTCATTCTATTAGCCTACTTTTGGCTCATTGTTTGTGTGTTTATAAACACCTTGGACAAAATAGTTTGTCTTTGTAGGACC